ATTGGGGTTTTTCGAATAAAATGATTGCTTTCAAGTCCAATTTCACTTTAGAAGTGGAAATTTTAGAAAAATTCAAAGATTTGTTCATAAAACAAACTCATAGTAAAAAAGTCAACTAGGGTTTGACTTTTGGTCAAACCTTTGACCAAAAAAATTAGAAAATACAAAAATCTCAAAATCATCTTATTTTACATTCAATTTGATTTTGGCATTTGAAATTTTACAAAAATCGATTTAGAATCAATTTTTCCTCAATTTACGGAATTTGGTTCAATCGGCCAAAAATGAATTACTTCATTTTTGGTCATTTTTTAGGTTAGTTTTCTTCACGACATTTGATCTAGAGGTCATATTGCATTCAATTTTAGAACAAATTTTGTAATTTCAAGCCAAACGCAAAAACCCCCAATTTTGGCCATAATCAGTGATTTGGATCGATTCTTCATAATTTGTGCAATTGAGACACGAAGGAGCCTAATTTCTTATATTAAATTCAAATTAGAAATCAATTTTGGAAGATTCACATGAATTTGAGCCAATTTGATCAATTTAGTGATCTAATGATTAAGAAATCTAAGAATAATTGATCCAATTAGTGCAATTCAACTTGATCCACTTTAGACTAACATCCAATTTGATGAATTGAGGCTCAATTTGGCCAATTGAATTTCAATTAAATTCGTTAGTCTAGCTTGGCCATGCAATTAACTCAAATTAAAGAACAATTGCGCTAAATAAGTTAAATTGGATCAATTTGTGCATGAATTTCAAATCGGTTCAATCCAATTCAATCGAATTCAATATTAATTGGGCCAATCGATCATGATAGAGATTGTACAAAATTGGAATAAATGGAGCGAAGGATTGAATCGGTTCAATTCGAGTCAAACTCGGGTTAAACCGGTCCAACCTGTTCAACCCGGTTTGACTCGAATTGAACTGGCCTGATCGGATCGGCCATTTTCTGGTCAAAAATCTGGCGGCCGGTGGTCCATTCCGACCAGCCAAGGCCGGCCACGTCCCTTTAAGCTCAAAATGACAAAACTGCCCTTAAATGAAAATTACGAAAATACCCCTAAGTGAAATTACTAAAATGCCCTTCATTAAGGATTAAGCAAATTACTTAGGGAGTAAGCAAATCAATCATGTCCATTCATTTAGAATCGATCATGGCCATCCATAATGCCATGTGACCTATCCTTAGCCCTTAAGGAAAATTCTTAATCATTAAGGATGCATTTTAGGCCATTGGATCAATCCAAGGGCTATGATTCAAAGTTGAGGAGAATATATAAGCTTTTTCCCTCCAAAATTTGATAAGCTCTCTCATTTTCAGATCTGATTTCTCTCTCTTCCCTCTCTCTCCATCTCACGCCTTCTCTCTCTCCCTCTCTCTCTCTCTCGGCTGTGAGTTCCTCTTGCCGATCCGATCACTCGTCGGCCATTTCCCGGCTTGTCCTACCACTCCGACGATCCTCTCGGTGTCCCGGAGCTGGTCGCAACATCAGCCACCATCTCTGGTGGCCGGAGCTCCTTCGCCGGCTTCATTTTCATCTCGGTTCAATCACCGGCGCTGCGGCGGGTGATCTGTCCAGCCAGTGATTCCGGCGATTCCGGCATTCCGGTGTCCTTCCTAGGCAGCCCGAGGCTTGCGATCAACATCCTTAGCCTCATCACGAAGCTGTGGTGGCCGGCTTTCACCGAAAAAGCCACCGGAGTTCAACTTTGAGCTTGATTTTACTTCTTCCTCTTTAGATCACAACCGTACGTCAATTTTCTTACCTTGTGACGTAGATATCAGGAGCTATATTTGGTGCCATTCCGGAGTTCATTGGTGGAAAAAATAGCTCATTTGAGCTCAGCAACATTCTTGAACAAGGTAGGTATACTTGGATGTTATTCTGTGAAATCATGTACAGAGAGGTCTGCATGCTTGAAATGCTGATTTCAGTTAGTAAATGTCAAAATCTTGCAAAGTGATGGACTATAGAGTCGTAATATACGTCTTAAGCTTCGATTTGATATATTGTATGCCTCAATTGGACTTTGTTTGCTAGGTGAAAATCACTTCGAAAGTTAGGATCAGAATCTGGAATGTGATGTTTAAGCCTGCTCTGATTATTTCCTGCTTGATGTTGTGCTGTTCTGTGATTTTTATGATTTTCTACGTTCATTGTTTGAGAAAACTTCCTTCATGAAAGTTGTCAACAACATTTAGATCTGTTCACTGTAAACATATCATAAAATTCCAAGCATGTTAGGGTAGGACGATTTGCAACGTCATATAGACATAGTCCTGGTGACAGATGAGTTTCTAACTTACCTTCACGTGTTTTTCGATTTTTATAAATTCGTGTGTTTAAAATCTGAAAAATTGTTCTTCATGAAAGTTCACACTGAGATCGAGCTTTCCAGAGACATCAATTTCATCAAAATGTGAGTTCATTTGGATTTTCAAAGGAATTTTAATGATTCAGTCAGTATCTGTGTTAAGATCTGATTTTCCTTCCTCTGGAATCCAAAATATGTTTCTCCGAATTTGATATAATTAGAGTCCTCTTTTGCCAAAACTCAAAACTAAAAAGTTGTTCATTAGGGTCTTATTATGTTGACTGGAAATTTTGAGGGCCTAATAGCAATTTTTAGGGGGTCGATTTGCTAAAAATCTTGGATAGGGTCTTCTCGGGTTAAAACCTGATTTGCAAATGAGTCCTTGGTAAAAACAGAATTTTGTAAATATTTGGAGGACTTTTTAGCAAAAACTTAAAACATTAAAGTTGTCACACACGGATAATCCTAATCGTCAAAAACATTTCACGTGGTTTTAATAAAGTTTCTTATTTTTCCCGCCATTATTTTGAAATCCCTAACAGAACCAGATCCAGACTGTCACCGAGGGTAAAACTGTTATTTTCATAAAAATCGGTGGGGAATTAGAAAAAATGGTCTTCTTGACTTTTGATCCTCACGACATAAGCTGAATCGCTTAATTTGGACATCATTAGGTGAATTAATCACGTCTGAACAGAAGTAATCCGAATTATACCATAACTGAATTACTGGTATTCTTATGAAACCTACTTCCCATTGTTTGATTGGTTGAGAAATAAGGCCTATTGGCCTAAATGCATGCCTATTTCATTGCTATGCATGTGTTTGCTAGATGTATGTTAGGCCCGGTGCATGTTCAGCGGGTAGCCCATTATAGTCATTTAGAACCAGACTTTGGGGGTTAATCGATATGAGTTACCGTTTTGTGAATGCAAATGGTAGCTCGTTATCATTAACCATTAATCAAATAATGTTAGATGATTAAGTGGGTGGGTGAATCGAAATGCATATAAAGCAAAGGTCGATCCCGAGGCCCATGTTTGATTAGTGAATTGTTTGCGCCATTGTTTTTCTTTGGTTGTTCCTTAGTGCATTGTTAGTCGTGAATGTATGTTGTAAATGTAAACACCGACACCCGAGAGGCGGTCCATGGAGGGGATAGTCCGAAATCGTAAAAGACCAAAACGATAGACAGTTGTCCAATCCGGTCTCAATTTGTGTTCATTTGACGGTGGCGATAGACCGATGTCTGATTCGGTTTCAAATTGTATTCAATTCATTCATTCCCAACTATGTCTCGGGTTTTCAATTCATGTTGTAATAAACACTCGAAGAGTTGCGAGTTTTTAATTTCTTGCACTTAGAATTAGCTCATCTTTTCAATACCTTGGTTGTTTACTTTACGCAATGTCTTTCAATACAATTGAACAATTATTTGTTTCTTTCTTTTCTAGACTAAGATAGGACTAGTTTAGAATCTTAAATGAAAACACAAAAACAAGATGCATGATCACTTAGTGGACTAAGGCTTTGGCATGAAAATGGTAAAAAATAAATGCATGACAACTTAGATAACAACCTTGATAAGTTTAACGGTACCGAAATGGCATTAATAGAAATATTAACGTAAGCTAGTTCCCGAACCTATGATCTATGGTTCTCACAGAAACCAATACGAAATTCCCGCGTATTGGTTGGGTGTTCTAGCCGAACCCCGACATAGGCTTGTGACAACTCCTAAAAAAGATAAAATCGATTCGCTGTCACGCGAGGTATGGATTAGGAAATATCCGTGTTCATGATTAATAGACCGTACGGATGACTAAAAGATCGACGCTTCGGTAAGCCATCTTTTATGATGTGCCGTATGGACCGTTTCATGAACATTTAGCTCTAAACCTGCCTTATCGAGTTCGGCCCTCGTGAGGTAGGTCGCGACAGGAGCAAGTGATGGTCATTAAAGATGATGATTCACTATAATTGTTCAATTAATAAAACATATGGAACATGGATAGACCTTGGAACCAATCCTAGAACGTGTGATAGGGTAGGTTCCAAAAAATGAGGAAACTATTCTCATGGGAAGATTCTAGGTGGAATATGTATATGACATGTAATCGCTCACCCCTAGTATCGATTTACGCAATGACTTCTTATTTTAATTATATTTATTTGAACCGTAATGCCAGGAAAATTATTCTTTTGTATTCCCTTTGGTGAATGACAAGTTTGTTCAGTACTGTTGCATTCCAGGTTCCAGGTTCTTATGGGTAGGTTCCAAGTTCCAATAAATGACGAACCTGTACTCAATGGTAGGTTGCAGGTGAAACCTGGAAGGAACATGGAACCCCTCACCCCTAGTGAGGAGGAAGAGACGTGTTTTGTGGTTTCCTCGTTTTGGCTAGAAATTGGTGCATCAGCAGCATATTTTGTTTTTCTTGTTCAAGTTTGCTGTTCAAGTTTGCTCTTCTTGTTATGTTGACACATTGTTAATTAAAAGCTTCATGAATGATTGAATGTGGTCGAGTAGCAGCATTAACGCACATCCCTAGAGAGAGGGGCTGACTCTCCATGGGTCATTAGCGAGGGTTGTCCAGCAAAGGCGGGTGGCGGATGCCAACCTCTGAAATAAGAAAATCAGCTGTGTTTTCTTAGTCTTGCTATTTCCCTACACTCTTGCAGGGTGTTCCATGGATTTTCAAATAATGGGTAACCCTCATATTACAAAAATAAACACGAGTTTTTATTCTATTTTTCACCTCTCCACCACATATTCTCTAGCTAGATTTCTAATGAACTTACCAAGAGTTTAGACCTTTCAAAAGCATAAACTTATCTTAACAGCAGTTCACATCAATCTTTCTTCCAAATTCAGCTTCGATCCTTCGGTAATAATATCATCTAGGGTATGGAGCCGTCATGGAAGCTTTGTTTATTAATGTCGGTGATGAGCCATGAACAGATGAAGTCGACATTTCTCTACCATTGGCATCTATCAAATATGCAGGCCGTGTCGGCATTGGGAGGGTCATGTTCTGGCTCCCGAGCATTAAAACCACCAAAGCCATCGTAGGCCGTCTAGCTTCGTTCTCTTGAGCACATAACAATGCAATGTGGATGCATCTTAACATTTCGCTTCTCGAACTGCCGTTTAATGTCGGATCTATAAGGCGAAAAGGTGTTTCCTTTATCCAATTTTTCCATGCCTGCAGTGCACAGTTGCGAAAGCAAGTAAGTGGGTTTTGTAATTTCACATGCGCAAGTAGAAGTATTATAGATTTTCATGAACTAAATTGTTGGACAAAACTCTACGATTTTATACTCACGTAGTCCAGTAGGTCCTCCGAAGTTCCCGACCTGTTAAAGTTTGAAATCTTCTTACCATTGATGATCTCTAAGACCACTATGCCGAAGCTATACACATCAGTCTTCACAGAGATCTCTCCATGTCTTACATATTCAGGAGCCATAAAGCCACTGCTACACGTAAAACAAATGGATCCAAGAATGATCAATGGGGAAACTGAAATTGGTGCCTATTATCGTTGTATACTTTCCTAGAAAGGTTGAAACAGACGAAGGAGCTTTAGATAAAGTTCATCTGAAACTTACAAAGTTCCTGCTATTTGTGCAGTATTTGCTCTACTTTGGTCCAAAACGAATAGCCTTGCCATGCCAAAATCAGTTATCTTGGGATTCATGTTCTCATCTAGTAGAACATTGCCAGGCTTTAGATCACGGTGTATGATCCTAAGGTGCGAATCCTCGTGCAGGTAGAGAAGTCCTCGAGCGATTCCACTTATTATTCCGAAACGCCTCTCCCAAGTTAACAACATACATTTGATTGAATCTGCAAAACAGACATCATTTAGGTTCTTAATTGTTCTGCGTGTATTGCAAAGTACTGCCAAATGGTTTGATGCAAAAATCTGTCCAATCAATACATTCACTATCATTGAAATGGAAGCGACAAATTTGAACGTCCAAATTCGTACCAGAAATGAATCCTTCAAGGCTTGAATTGGGTGCGAATTCAAGAATAAGAAGTCTTTCCCCTTCTTCCAAGCAATAGCCAAGGAGCTTAATCAGATTTTTGTGCTGAAGTCTGACCAACAGAGTGACCTCATTCTTGAACTGTTGCAGACCTTGATTAGAACACCCCTTAAGCCTCTTCACAGCAATGTCTTGTCCATTTTCAAGTTTGCCCTGCAGTCAAATTTTCATTTGCAAGAAACAACGTTTATCTCCTTGTAGTGATGTAATTCCCAAATAAACATTGACAAATTGTTTTTTTTCCAGCTACCCGATACACTTTTCCGAATCCCCCTTCTCCAAGCTTATTGCCTTCTGAAAAGAAATTTGTGGCAGCCCTGATCTCGCTTATTTTGAACCGTAAGCTTTCAGTTTCGACCTCATCTTTTGCTGAAGAAAATGCAGAGCAATCAACATGAGATCTCCAGGATCCGATAAAAAAAAAAATCAAAATTTTCTTGTTCTTGACATGCCATTTGGGCTCTCTTTATTATTTAATGTTTCAATGCCAAAAGGCAAAGACTCACCTTCATCTCTTTTCGCTATCAGGAGTACGAGGACGCTGATAACAAGTACTGCAGACACACTTGCGGAGACCGCAATGATCACAGTCGTCGTTGAATTGCTCTTTTCAACTGCAAGAACAAAGGCCCATAATGTTTTTTGATCATTGCTCACTGATTTCTAAGTAATATACTGGAGAAATTACTAAAGCGCCAATCTGAATGCGGCAACGAAACGCATGTTGCAAACATATAACAAGAAGAGAGTACACACCACAACTTATGGAGAGTATTAAGATTCGAAATTTATCACATTATGTTTTTTCTTCACTGCTCACTGATTACTAAGTAATACACTTACGGCGCCAATCTGAATGCGGAAACGAAAGGCAGGTTGCAAACACATAACACGAAGAGAGTACGCACTACAAGTTATGATGTGAAGTATATACATCACGCCACTCTTCGATAACTCAAAGGAGAGTTATTCGGATATCTGGATTTTGTCATCTTACCAAGTTTCGTCTAATGGAGAGTATTGAGATTCGAAATATATCACATCATGTAAGCAAAAAAAAAAAAAAATATGCAAACACCGTGTACCTAACTCCTAAACAAGAACCAATGTTTTTTTTTTGTTTTTTTATCATTGCTCATTGATTACTAAGGGCGCGAATGACAACATTTCTCTTTCCCGGCCTATTTCTGGCTAGAAATTAAAAAATCTATTTCTTTTTCCCGGAAGAGTTTCTAAGCAAAATGTAGCGTTTGATAATGATACAAAATTTTTATTCCCGGAATAAAAATTGTTTGATAATGACGCAAAATTTCTATTCCCGCCGGCCGTTGAGCGGCGGCGACGGCGACAACAAGAGGCTGCCAGCGAGCGGTGGCGGCGGACGGCCGGCGGACGAGTGGGAGTGGCGATGGGCACTGGCGGATGAACGGCTAGTGAGCGGTGGTGGTGACGGGTGGCGGTGGATGGGCGGTGGGGGGTGGCGGTGGATGGTTGGACGGCAAGCGGCGGCGGCGGGCGGCGGCGGCGGCTGGTCGGCAGCTAGCGGCGAGTGGGTGGCGATGGGCGGCAAGGGTGAGCAACGAAAGAGAGTTGTTATTTCTATTTCTGTTTTAGAAACAGAAAAATAAAATATTTTAACTTCTTATTTCTGTTCCAAATCTATTTTTGATCCAAAATTTGTCCCAGAAATAAAATAATGAAATTATTTTACTAAACGGATTTCCGTTTCAAATCTATTCCCAGAAACAAAAAAAAAAAGAAAAACAAGGAAACATAATAGTTATTATTCGCATCCTAGGTAAAACACTAGAGAAATTACTAAAGCACCAATTTGAATGCGGCAACAAAACGTGTGTTTCAAACATATAACAAGAAGAGAGTACAAACAAGTTACGATGTGAAGTAACTTGTGGAGAGTATGAAGATTCGAAATATATAGCATCATGCAACAAAAAAAATATTTTTAAATTATTGTTATCCGCTAAACAAACGAATCCTAAAATATTATTTCAATAAGTATAAAGGAGGACTCTTAATGAAATAAATGTACTATGTCTAAGCTAATAAAATTATGTCACCGGAAAAATACAATCATTAAAAAATTAATCACATGAGATTTATAAGAATATCATCATCCTATATCAAGTATCTTTGCCGAGAATGTTCCTTTAGCACCGTGAATTGGATTTTTGCCAGTGTTCCCCACACTATCACCGTCCCCACAATATCGTATGTAACGATTCGAACACGGGTTTTGGGGTATATGGTTTAGTGTTTTAGATTTAGGGTTTGGGGTTTATGATTTGAGTTTTGACATTTTGGGTTTAATGTTTTGGGTTTGGGGTTTTAGGGTTTGGGTTTTGGAGTTTGGGTTTTGAGGTTTGGGGTATAGGGTTTAAAGTTTAAGGTTTTAGGGTTTGGGATTATGGGGTTTGGCGGTTTGGGGTTTTAGGGTTTGGGTTTATGGCTTTAGGGTTTTGGGGTTTAGTGTTTCGGGTTTTGGGTTTTAGGGTTTGTGGTTAGGCGGTTTGGGGTTTTAGGTTTTAGGGTTTTAGGATTATGGTTTTAGGGTTTTAGGGTTTGGAGTTTATGGATTTAGGGTTTTGGGTTTAAGGTTTTAGGTTTCGGGTTTAGGGTTGAGGGTTTAAGGGGGGGTTTGGGGTTAATGTTTAGGGTTTTAGTGATTCGGATTTTGGGGTTTAGGGTATAGGATTTAGAGTTTAGGGTTTTAGGTTTTGGGATTTTGGGGTTTGGGGTTTATGATTTAGGGTTTGAGATTTTACGTTTTAGGGTTTGGGTTTATGGTTTTAGGGTTTGGGATTTAGGGATTCGGGGCTTGGGGTTTAGGATTTTAGTGTTTTAGGGTTTGGGGTTTAGAGTTTAGCATGATAATATCTTGTGAAAGAGAGAGTTGATCTTGTTTCTCTTTTTGTTCATGGGAACAAGAAGTAGATTTTTTTTACTTCTTGTTTCTGTTTCAAATCTATTCCCTGGCCACTTTTTTATTCTGGGGAACAAAAAATAGAAAAAAAAGAGACGTTATTAAATAGGCCCATAGACTATTTGATCGCAAGAACTATCATCTGTTATAGTAACAAGATCACTATCACCTGCAAACTCCACCGAAACTCATTTACTCTTGTACTTTAGATAGTCTCTCTTGTAGTGCCTTACCTCATCATAACATCAACCATTCCGGACATTGGACCTCTATATAGAGCAACTCTTCCATGTGCTACTTTCAGACTTTATATGTTTCTCTATTTCTAATAACCAAACCTTGCATTGTATGTCATGCCCCGAACCCCATCGAGTACATGACATCTCTCTTCGGTTGAATCAGTGCGACGTCCCAGGAAACGTCGCCGACCCAAAACGAACCCATCGAAGTTTAATCGTGGCGGCAACAACAAACACCCAGATAATGATTTACCAGGGGTACTAGGGAGAGTAAATTGCCAAACCACCAAATCTTATGATATACCTCGATTTAAGTACGATATCCATTTACAATATAAACTTATGCCACAACCGCCATGAACAAACCACAAAGCAAAATATGCACACTGAACTACCAAACTGCAAACCACTAATATTACAGAAAGATCAGTAGCCTGGGTAAGCACTACACCAAAATGGGACACTTCCAAACTTTTCCTCACCTCCAAAACTAATCCCTACGCCCTCTAGATGGCGTCCACTCTGACTCACTCTCTTCGGAATCCTCATCCGAATCTTCATCAGGCACATGCTCATCCGATGACTCCGAATCGGCCTCAATCTCGATCGGGTATTCAACAACATCATGATCAGTGTGCATAACAATCCCAAAACGCTGCGGCGGCGGCGACGGAGACGGAAGGTTCATGGCTCGGGCGGGTGCTCTGAAATAGTTTGGTTGATACAACCATGAGACACTTCTCAATAAGTACACAACCTAAACCTTATCTAGGCTACCACGTATTCCAGACAAGTCTAGACACCGAATCAAGCCACACACAAACAACGTCCACACAATCGTACTTACCTGATTCTCAATACACGCAACCTGCACGTTAGTCTTACAATATCACTATTCCACTCACATGCATGTTCTAATGACATTTCATGCATTTGTTCCCGTTTCATCACATCTTTTCCACCCCACTCGCTAGTGACCCGTGTAATGGTACCGCCTCAGGTTCACTGCGACCAACTTATCACAACACTCCATGGCCCACGTAATGGTACCGCCACAGGCTATGTATCTTGCCTGCGTAGTGGTACCGCCTCAGGCTCAACATCCGTCACCTAGTGCACAACCCGTGAAATGGTACTGCCTCAGGTTGGCTATATTCACAACACTTCTCGGCCCGCGTAATGGTACCGCCTCAGGCTGTGTATCTTGCCCGCGTAGTGATACCGCCTCAGGCTCAACACCTATCACCTACGACACAACTCGCGTAATGGTACCGCCTCAGGTTGGCCGTCTTCCGATAAAACCGGGCATCGTCCCGCGTAGTCATACCGCCTCAGGACGGATCAATTCCTCGCGTAATGATACCGCCTCAGGGATTTCCATTATCACACGTACCGCACCACACACGCTTTCTCACTCATTCACATGCTCAACACTCACATGCCAACGTATTGGCCATTCACACTTGGCCCGTGCACGCATCAAACCACGTATTTCTCATGCTCAATAAGCATCCAACACGGCCAATTGACAATCAATTCAATTCGGCCCGAGCATGCACATAACAAAGCACATTTCAATCCATCAAATCACGGTACAATAAACACACAAGGCCACTCACGGGCCCACAAACACAGCCACGTTCATAGGCATAAATTCGATATTTCCAAGCATATTAAACACCACAATCCAGCCACACTACCACACACCAAACCAACACCATTTGTCCTTAAATCGAGCCCTAAGCTCGTCAATTCCATCCCACAACGTCCGACACTCTATTCAGTCTCACTCCAGCCTCGAAACATCCTCATTTCATCCTCAAATCAACTCATATAACACACATTCAAGCATAAATTCCAATCACGAGGGTAACAACTATTCAACCTCGACACCCCCACCATGCCGCTCATAAAAAATGAACATCCATAGAATCAGGGTAAATCTGGGCAGTTTACACAGTGACCGAAATCCCATCAAAATAAATAGTAAACGAACTCCAAAAATTCTAAATTTTGGATATATCATAAAAAACATCTTGATAATAATTTCTTATGAAGAACACGAAATCCGGTTCAATCTGCAATCATGCCTTTTTGTCCCTCGAAATCAGACCAGAATTAGTTCGCTCTAACAGACTATTTTGTCCTCAAAATACATTTTTTTCAACACCAAAATCACCTTAAAAAGCATTTAAATTTTTATATGTCATAGAAATGAAAGTCACCAAAAAATTTTGTGAAGGAATTTTATTGAAAATAGATCTGGAAAATTTTATAAAAATTCGGCAAGACAAGAAGGTCGGGATGAACAGTGTTCCGGGCAGTTTTAATACGGTCTGAAAATGGGTTTTCGTGCAACCGAAATGACCTCCAAAATTCCAAATTTAAAATATGTTATACGTCAAGATGTTGGGAGCAACTTTTATGAAGAAAA